TTTTTCTCAAAGTTTTGAAAAGCTATTAGCCAGGATCATGGTGTAATAAGACATAACGTTTTCCTTTAAAAACTTTAAGTGCGTGTGTAGAGTTAAGAAGCTGTTGTACATTTATGATTTAATAAAATAATTCTAAAGGAAATTGTGTAATTATAGACTTTTTATTTTAAATAAGTTAAGGATTGGGTAGTATAATTAAGGTCCGTTGCAAAGTCGTTGTTATATTTGTGTTAAGATAAATGCTGGTCAGATAAAAGTGTGTGTCTACAATTCATCAGGATTAAATTATGTAGATAACTTAAGGGATATCTCTGCAAGGAGAAACACCTTTTTAGATCTTTTAGATGCTGCTTCTTCAATGCAAGGAAAGGAAATAACCCCAGCGAGGTACTCTTCAGGGACACAGGTCTAGTACAAGAGAACTCTTGACGGCTTCTAAATTCAGCCAGTCTTAAAAAACTGTGCTGTTTCTACAAAGCTTTAACTACAGTAGTTTATAAGGATGCCAACGAAAGCTGAGGGTGTAGAGCAAACTAGTTCTAAGCTTCAGTTAAACTTCTTTAGGTAAGATCTTATTTACTTTTCCTTCCTTAATTTTCCTCCCCAAAAGATAAACTAATACTCTTCAATGGTCTATTTCAGTATAGTGGTTCTTTATGTAGTTTAACATAGCTGTAAATTGAGTTTAACAATTTATAAACTCAAGAGAGTAATTTGTAAAACCCTTTTTCCAATCTGTCATTTATGTAAATTATTTTGGTTGTTTCCCCCCCCCTCTTTCATCCCCCCTTACCCATCCCCTCCCCATGCATGAAGATTCAGGTGCTTAACATATCATTTTTTTCCCTGCTGGAATTTTAGCATTGATATGAACCATGGACAAGTATATTCTGCTGCCACAAAGACTGTAAAGTTCTTCATTTCAACAGCTGAGGCAAGCCAAGTGATCATTAATAAAAGCTTTTCTTGGTTCCTTCAGTGGTGTTGGTAGTAAAATGGTAGGTAAAAGTTAGGCTGCAAGTTCACTACATCATGAAATTCCCCATCATTACAACCTTGTGAATTCACATTTCTTGGAGCAAGTCTTTTTGAGTGAACGAAGGGTTTTCATAAAAGCAGATATTTTGACCTTTTGATATTGGGAGAAAAAGGTAGGGTAAAGTGGTTGTCAGAAGTTTTCAGATAATAATTTATGCTATTATACTATTGACTACATTGTAAATTATGTACCCAATACTAGTTTACATATGGTAATCCTTTTCTAGTACCCCTAACCTATGGTAGAGATCTTCAGAACTTCATCGCCTGGCTTTACTGCCTTTTCAGGAATTTGACAGTTAAGTCATTCTCTGTACACCAGTTTGATCCTAAAATCACCACTGAAGTTACTTAGGTTCTTTCAACAAACATGATAAACTTCTTCAGATACTTTTTTTTTCCTTTGGCAGGAAGGTGTCTTGCTGCAGGTAACTAATGAAGAAGTGGTCAACCACAGAGTCTTCAAGAAATAAGAAATTCTGTACCATCTGAAAGTAGTTCTTGTTGGTGCCTTCATTTAAAAAGCACTTTTTTAAAAGATTAAAGGGAAATGTTTTCTGATAAAATCATTAGTACAGGTTCCTAATATAAAAATACAAATTGAGTGCCTGTAAAATTATCAAGTCAGAAAACTGTATCCTGTTTAAAGTCAGGTTTTTATAAAATAAATATTTTTATTCAAATAACTGGTGTAATGTTTACACATAACGTGTGTGAATCTTGTTGTCTAAAGGTCATAGAAATTTTTTAAAGCAATTTCACAAATTGATAAAGCACCATGGACATTACTGGCTATGCCTAATAAAATGCCATTCCTTACTCTGTATAGTCAGCATTTGAATAGTGCTATGTCTGCCATTCAATGGCATTTAGCCAGCTAGAGTGGTATGTAGCAGTTGGTCTTGAGTTAAGAATGTGTCAGATTGTGATCTCCATCTAACATTTAAAAAGGCTTCATTTCACAAGGGATTTAAACTTGGTAGATGAGCAGTGACTGGGTATTTGAGTTCATGAAAGAAACCAGAGTAAGCTTTATAATTTTACCAATTTGCCTTCCCCAAGCTGTTTCTCTGCAAAAGTTTGTATTGAAGATTGTCAAGTTGGTGTTACACAAACTATGAAACAAGGGTATTTCACAATGGGTAAAAATCATGGTCAAGCTCAAGACAATACCTTTTTCACATGTATACACTTGTTGCTAATGAACACTCTTAAATACAGAATGGGGTTGTCTTATCTGCGTCAGAAATTTTAGAGCAATAACAAAACGGTCAGGTATTGTAACATTGGAGCTGGAACCCACCCATAGCTGTCCCTCTGACACAGGTTTTCAGAGGCAGTTAATTGCACAGGAGATTGCCTGTTCTTGTCCACACAGCAGCTGATGGCTTTCAATCACATGCCTTTGTAATTGCAGTGCCAGCGTATCAATAGGCTGCCAGAGCATTCTATCATTGGGGTGCCAAATATGGTTAAAGGTCCAAAAGTTTGCATGACAAACTGGCATTCATCTTGAATCTTAACAGTAAATGGTTGTAGAAATGTGTGAAATTATTTCAGTTTACAGATAATGGAGAGGGAGACTCTCAAGCTGTTGATGCAAGATGTCAAATAGCAGTACTTAGTGGTCTTGGTATACCAACAAAACTACTGGAATAGTCATGAAGCCAAGTGGTTTAGTCATTGATCCATGCTGCCTCTTCACATGGAAAGCATCAGTTGACGGTTTGGGATGATGCTGGGGACATATACAGTCAAGTCAAAGGTGATGAGTCAATTTAAGTTTATTCCGACTTTAAGCAGTGATTTTGTCATCACCATTCTGTCAAGTGGAAAATGCCATATGATGATACATACTGTTTTTTTCTACACTAGAGTATGTAGACTGAGAAACTAAAAAAGGAAGTTAAGATTACAAATGAACCACTGAAAAAACCAACCATCTAGGTCTTCAATTCATTGGCAAAAACGGATTGTGAAAGGCCTAAGGCCAGTTGAAAATGGGAGTTTTGGTCTTTATAAAATATCAGGCCTGATTCTAAAACCTGAAAGTTAAATTCATGTTTTAAGTTAGTATTGCATACCAGAGTTGGAACCAACCCATCACAGACCCACCCTCCAGTGAGCTTCAGAGGCTACCGCTACATTATTTCTAATGTCAGAACAGCTAGCTCCAAGTTTCTGATCACACAGATGCATCTTGTTTCTCCACAGAGCCGCTGGTGAACTTAGCTGGGCAGTGCAGTCAACTACAGAATATGCTATCTGAGCAAATACTTTTTTTTTAGTTCACATAAGGGGTTAGTTTTTAAAGTCTGCCTGCAACCTACATGAACTGTGGTCTTGAGCATTAAGACCCCTTCTAGGGTGGACTGCTTTGCCCTTTAGTACTGGAATGAAATTGTGCTGTGCTGACTCATTTTACTGTATTAATGGCTAGGAGAGCCGCCCATTGAAGACTGACCTTAAGGGTTTTCATATTCCTCAAGATCCATGGTAATGATGTCATGACATCTCAGTTGCCAAGAGTCAAACTGGCAGAATGGCAGTTTATATAAGTCCTGATGAGTCAGGCTGACAGTTTGGTGGTTTTGTTTAGAACTGGGGAAAAGCTTGTATCTTGGAGGGAAGACCATAAAACAAAAGTTAAGAATTCAAATATAAAATTTATTTTCACAAAGTTTTAAGTTGCATATTCATAAAAATGAAACCACTTCAGGGCATGGACTAAATGTTAAGGCTACTTGCATTTCAAGTCATTAATGAACACAACTTGGAAAAATGTGGATGCAGTCTGCTCTTTGAAATGAAAATGCTGTCAGGTTTACATGTTATTTTGAACGTATTTATAAACCTTGCGTATACTGCAAGTAGGAAGACTTCATGAAAAGTAGCTTTCCCTCAAATTCCCCAGAAGTCCTAAATGTTAAAATGTAAACTTTAAAATGTCTTAATTTGGTGATTACTACTTGAAGACATGTGACACTTGTTACAAGTCAAGAGAAACTTGAGTTTGATTGATGGACCAGTTTCTTGGTGTTTATCCAGATACTGGGATCCGTTCCAGTTTTGTTTTTTCACTTTTTCTTTCCTTTCTGGTTTTCCTTTGTGTGGCCTGAGGTCACCAGTTCTTTAGGTACAAGCAGAACACTTCCATCCTGGTTGCATTGAAGAGCATACTGGTTTGGATTGACTGGCCTACCTTGGTCATCTCTTAACCTACTGAAAACATCATGACACAGGTCATGCAGTTTCTGTTTCATTATGTTAATAGCTTTGTTATATTGCGCTCGCTCTCTTTTAAGGCTTTCCTTCTTAGCTTGTAAATGGCATACATCATCTTCTAAATTCAAAATTACGTCTAATTTGCGTTTACGGCAGTTCTGAGCAGCAACTTTATTTTTTCCCCTTCGTCTGATATCACGAATAAGTGATATCTGTAAGTCTGTCAGATAGTATCTACTTAGCATGCTATTGAAGGCATCAACAGGCATTTGGACAATATCATCTACAGAGAAAGGAATACGCAGAGCTTTAGCACGCCGTTCATCACGGCTTAAGTTTCCATCAGTGTTACTGAGGTACTTGCTTATTTTCTGTGACTTTCCAGGCCATGACAAAGATTCAGTAGGTTCTGCTCCAGTTGGCTGCAAATGGTAAGTATGATTATGAAATACATGTTGAAATGCAACTTCCTTGTGAAAGCCAGACTCAAGTATGTGGTCCATATGACAGATGGGCTCTGGGGAGAAGCCACCTACAGCTCCTCCTACATCATAAGGAGAAAAAGAGTCAACGTCACTAATAAAACCTATAGCCCCTTGATCATACCCTGAGTGAGAGGAATTCGATCTGGTGACAAAAGTGCTACAGTGACTTGAATTTAAGGAAAGCCCAGAATCAGAATCTGGTTCTTCAAAAAGCTGAGAAACTTGTACTGGATCAAACCCTTCTTCCATGGCCAGAGACATTAAATTTATTTCATCAAATAGATTTTCATCAAGGTCATATAGAAGGTCTTGGCTGGTTAGGTTCTGCAGCTGACTGTCAACAGGTGGAAGGACTGTCAAATTAGTTCCAATAAGTGTCTGCTCAGAATTGGTGGTGCAAGAATTTAATTGCAGTAACGGTTCTTGTGGCTGTGAAGTCCTTGCTGGAGGATCTCTACAGGAATCGTTGGGACACAGCAGCATGGCCTCATGAAGACATACATCTTGGCTGATAGCCTGGCTAAAGTTTACATTATGTGATGAGTTCATGCCATCACTGCTACCGCTAGGAATAAAAGGAGTAGCCCCCAGGGAGATGCTCTAAAAGAAGGGGGAGAAAAAGCAGTTTAAGCATGGGTAACTTGATAGCAGTCCTACTACCTAAACTTTTCTCCCTACTTAAAGGATGACTCACTTTCCCTAGTAAGTTAACAGTACATATGTGATGTGTACACAAATAAGCCTACACTAAGGGGGGAGGAGGGGTCAGTATTATTAAAAATTCAAATTGCTGTGAAAAGTGACTCAGCTGATTCTATAGCAGGTTTTTGGAGGCTGTAAATACCACAGGAGACTGTCCATTTCCTCCAGTGGGTTTGAAATGAAGACAACAATTCTTTGCAAGCTACAGGTCAGCAGAATACCAGTCATCATAATCTCACCAAGTTTTCAAAGAATTTTACACAACTCATGTCAGGTGTGTCAGCATTTTCTTTGGTATAAAGTTTGTACAGACAGTATTAGGCTTCATGGGCCATAAAGTGTTAACAGTTTTGCCCATTCTGTTGGAGCACGAAAGTAGTCATACATAGAATGTTAAAAGAATGTGTTTCAATAAAACCATTTAAAAAAAAAAGCCTGATTCTACCAGTTCATGTGAAACTGTAAAAAACCTGGACTGTTTCTCATCTGTAAAACATCATCAGAAACATGGTACCGAAATTATTTTTTTTGAGGGGTTAGACATAAGAATATAGTTCAGTGCCATCGAGTCACAGACAACTCATAGCAACCCTATGAACGAAAGACCTGAACACTTGTGGAACTTTCATTGTTTCTCCAAGTTCAGAGAATTTTTGGAGGCAAGCTATTTCAGAAGTGGATGCCACTCCTGCTTGCTTAAGTTTGCACCCTTTATCCTATGTAATTTGGAAGCAGGAGTGGCATCCACTTTGTAAACAATGCCTCTGGAAATTATGAACTTGGATAAGCAATGATAGCTGTAAAGGGGCTTCAGGTCTTCTGTTCACAGGGTCGCTATGAGTTCCTTAATGTGAGAGGTTTTCTACTTAAATTACTAACGTATTACTAACCTATGTGTAACTTGGTTAATGGGAAGAAATCTTGCAGTATGTATTTCTCCCATAATATTCCATAATGGCACTTTTGTCAGGATGAACTACCAGCCTAGCATACACATTTAAAACCTAAGAATATCACTGTCTAAGTTTATCAATAGTTCCTTCTCGTCTAATACACTACAGTGAAAACATGCTGTTTTAGTTTGTCATGTGTTTATCACTTTGTGCTTTCATATGAATGATCTAGGTTTGATTTTTGATAATTTGGAAGGAAGGAAAAACATGATTAATTCTTCAAAGTTGATATATTTCTATAAAGTAAAGCCAGGTTTCTGTAAATATTGTATTTTAATTAAATAGTATTTATTAGAGAACTCTGGTTCTCAGTGGCAGGGAATTGTGCTGTCAATGCAAAACTATGTAGTTCAAATCCATGAGGTGCTCCATGGGAGAAAGATGGGCAGTCTCCTCCTATGTGATTGCCTCAGAAAACCACTGGGAGATCAGCTATGGGTCAGTTCCAACTTGACAGCAATACTACTACTAATTACTAAACTAATAAGTACTAGTTTAATCTGTTCTGCAATGTAGTTATTCAGAGAGGTCTGAGCAGATATATTCCCATAAGGATAATAGCCAAGATTCCAGTTACCTCTAGTAAATTTTCAGGCTGTGATGAAAGCAACTGAAATAACTCTTCAAGACAAAAAGATGTGTCTGTCCCATTTAGATGCCTCTGAAGAACAAAAAAAAAGGTAAATTAACTTCATCTTTAAAGATAACCAGATTTTAACATGCTGGATCCCTTCTACCCCTTTTCTGTAAGAAGTTTTATGCTTTATTTCTCTTTTAGCACTCTTAGTATTTTAAAATGTGTATTTCAAGTTCAAAGTGACCATATCTCCAAAGGCTTTCCTTACTTCTGCTCTAACTTTCCATAAATTTGTGGTTAGTATTTTTAGTTCCACTGTATTTTACCTCTCCATAGATCCTCCCGACTGGTTACAAAATTAGGGATGTTGGGTGTCACTGAGTCGATTCTGACTCAGCATGTGACAGTGGGCTGCCCAAGCACGTTTTCTTTGACTGTAAACTTCACAGAAGCCAATCACTGTAAAATCTTTCCATTAGAAGCCTACCACTTAGAAAAATGTCTCATCAACTTTTTTAAATACTCATCGTTTCTTTCATACATATTTCAATTCTGCTTCTGAAGTCGGTTTTTTCTTTTCAAAGAACTCTTTTGATATGTTAGTCCACAGGGAGGTATGCTGCCTCTCTGACAGTTCAAATTCTCCCAGCAGCTCCTAGAGCCTCTGAAAGCCCTGTGGAGAGTAAGCTCTTAGTTGGTTCCAACTCTCTATGTATGGCAAGAACAGAGTAAGACAAGAGACCTCATTGAGAGGGCCTTGAACTGGCTACTGTTAACTGATCAGAAAGTTGCCTGGCTTTGTGCCACCATCACAAGCATTGCCATGCTTGGATGATCCCATTATTTCAGTCTCTGTATTGATTATGCCATTGAGGGTCTGACTTTTTTTGTACTGACCCTTGACTTGACCAAGCCCCATCTTCAGTGGTTAATCTTCCTTCGTGGTGACATGTTCAAAGTAAGGGAGACTGAGCTCTGCCATCCTCGCTTCTAAAGAATATTCTGGTTGTCTTTCTTTCAAGACAGATTTGTTTCTTCTGGCACTTAGTCTACAATATATACTCTTAGCCAATACCACAATTCAAATCTGTTGGTTTTATCCAGCTTTCACATATATACAAGGTGATTAAAAAGACCATACTTGGGTCAGGCAGACCTTAAGTCTTCAAAGTGACATCTTTTCTCTTTAACACTTTAAGGTGGTCTTTTGCAGCAGATTACTCCAACATAGTATGTTACTTGACTGCTTTTTCCATGGACACTGTTGATCCAAGATGAAATTCTTGGTAATTTCAACTTATTTGCCATCTATCTTTGATATCTATTGGTCCAGTAATAAAGATTTTAATTTTGTTAGTGTTCAGATATAATCCATACTGAAGGTAAAATCTTTTACCTCACCACTAAGAACTTCAAGCTCTTCACTTTCAGCCAGTAAGGTTCTGTCATCTGCATATCTCGGATTATTTACTGATGTCTTCCTCCAATCCTGATGCTGTAGTCTTCTAGCTGTTTTACATAGCCCTATTTAGCTCCTTGGATTATTTGTTCAGCATAAAGACTTAATAATCAACATTAAAACCCCCCAACTTTGCTACCTATCTTTTCAAACATTAAATCTTACTGTACACCTCCTTTTTCTAGTTAAAAGTCTTTTGATCCATGTACAGGTTCTGTGTGACAGGCTCACTTGTCACTCTCCGAAACTCCACTAATGTTCAAGGCTCAACCCAAGGCCCACTGCTGGGACGAGGGATCATGGCTGAGCACCTTCTCGGAAAGAGACTATAAGGGTGTGTTTTCCACATGGCTATATTTCTCTCGGCTTGCCTCTGGAGCACTGGTGGACAGGTGAGAAAGAGAGGAAGAATCCATTTGTGTAGAGTTTCTGTGTCATCAAGTTGAGTACAACTCATAAACTCAAAAGAACCCTATGAATAACTGATCTGAACACTGTCCTATACTGCACCATCCTCACAATCTCCAACAGCCTCAAGCCCATTGCTGAAGTCACTTGTCAATCCACGTGGTTGAGGGTCTTCCTCTCCTTTGTTGTCCTGGCATCTTCCCAAGCAAGATGTCCCTCTGCAAGGAATACCGTCTCCTAGCACCATGCCCAAAGTAAGATTAACTTCATAATCTTTGCCTCCAAGGATGCAGTTTCTCAGGGCTACCATAACAAAGCAACACAAACTTGGTAACTTCAAACAACATAAATTGATTCTCTCAGACGCTATACATGTGAAACACAGGCACTGGCAGGGCCACAGTCCCTCTCACGGTTGTAGGGGAGAATCCTTCTGTCTTCTAGATTCTGGTGCTGTTGGCATTCCACAGCCTCCTAGGCTCATGGCCACGCTGCTGTAATCTCTGTTTCCATCTTTATGTTGTTTTCTCTTGTCTCAAATTTCCCTCTGCTCTTATAAGGATATCTGCCATTGGATTTAGTTTAGAGTCCACAACAATAGTCCAAGATGATCTCATTTTAAGATCCTTAATTGCATGTTCTTTCCAAATAAGGGCACATTCACAAGTTCTGAATTTGTATCTCTTCTGGATGGGGACTAGGGATGAAGTGTTCAGCTTCCAACTAGAGGGTGGTGGTTTTGAACTTGCCCTGCTGGCCTGAGGGAGAAAGATCCAGCAACCTATCAGCATTACAGCCAAGAAAACCCAATGGGAGCTTTTCAGTCACAAAGGCTCACTATGAGTTGAGATTGAGAGCATCTTTCCACACCTCTTTCCACCAGTGAACAGGCACACTAGACAGTGGGCCCAAGAGGTGGTCCCTCAGTCTAACCCAGGGTACATTATGGGCCCATGAAAACCCAATGGCTTAATTTTGCTTGGCCCATTTTGGGAGACTAAGTGAGGATCTAGCTCAAGCCTCTAGTTCTGGCCACCTGGCCACTCATGAAGGTAGCTAGCTGAGGATTCCTAGGTTTGAGATGACAATTGTCTATCAATTTCCAGCGTAAATACAACTCACAAAACCTGCCAGCAAGTCCTTGAGACATTGTATAACCTGAATTTAATAGATAAATAATACAGGTAATTTTATGGATTGACTCCTTTGTAAATAAACACACCCACACTAAATACGAATTTTTTTTCATATATCAAAATTTGCTTAGAGTAGAGCATGTTTATACACAAAAATTTTCAACACAAACTGTCAAAGCCAATAAAATCTACATTAAAATAAGAGTAGCATTATGAGAATATTCTGCTGTGCTTACCTCATGTCTAGATTCAGGAGCCTTTTCTGCCTCTGGTTTATCTATGTTCTTTTCATCTTCATTGGTCCTCTGTAACAAATCCTCCTGAATGGACACCCTTTGCTCATCTTGTTCATGCTGGGAACTGTACCCCACAGCTTCCCGCCTCTCTGTCAGTACTGAAATTTCCTACGAAAGTACCAAAAAAACATGCTAACTAGAAATCCTCTTATTTCAGGAAATAAGTCAGTCTTTAAAACTGTTCTGTACTTTCTACACAGTGCTTATGGAAATCCAAAGATAGGCAGAGACTGAGCATTCATTCAATACTACAGAAACATTTAATTCTGAAACAAATGGTCAGGGTTTTTTTATTCTGATCCTTGTTAAGTACTCTCAGAGAAAGATCATTACAATCTGCATAATTTACACTGAAGAAGATCAAAGTCTACAGCCTTCAGTACCAACTGCATCTCAACATTAAAAAATAAAATTCCCTACAAATGAGGCAAAAAGCACCATTATGATAGAAGGAAAACAGACTGAAGCTACTGATTTCACCTGGATTCACAATGCTCATGCTGGTTGGTGGATGTTGTCAAGTATGACTCACAGCGACCCTGTGAATGACAGATCTGAAAGCCCTGTCCTATCTTGTGACACCTTCACACTCTGACACACTTAAGCCCATTGCTGAACTAGGCAAATCTACTATCAAGGACCTCTTTAAATTGCTAAAATACAAGGGCCGAGATGTATCTGACTTGACTCTAACCACAGTATTTTCAATTGCTTCCTCTGAATGTGAAAATTAAGACAATAATAAGGATGACAGAAACAGATTTAATACCTTTGATAAAATGTTGGAGAAAAGTACTAAATAGCCCATAAACTGTCCAAAGACCAAACAAGTCTTGTCTTGGAGGAAGTGCTTCTTAGAAGATGCTTCGTCTCACAACTTCTGGGCATGTTATCAAGAACACTAGTCCTTGGAAAAAAGCATGTTGGTCAGCAAAAGAGAGGAAAATTTTCACCAAGAAGGACTAACACAGTAACTACAACAAAGGGCTTGACATGGCACATGATAGGGCAAGGTTTTGGTTTGTTGTTCAAAGGATGCCTACAGTCAGTCAACTGCATGGCACCAAACAACAACATAAGGACTTTCTAAGTATTCATTGATAAAGGCAATTCTAATTTTGCACAATTTAAATCGTATTGACATATTTCAGCTAATAGATGCTGCCCTGGATGTGCTCACCAAGTTGTGCCAAGAAATCTGGAGAACAACCACTTGGCCAACTGACTGGAAGAGATCTTTATTTGTTCCCATTCCAAAGAAGGGTGACCCAACATAGTGTGGAAACTGTAGAACACTATCATTGATTTCACATGCAAGCAAGATTTCCACTGAAGATTATCCAAAAATGACTGGAAAAGCACATCAGCAGAGAACTGCCAGAAGTCCAGGCGGGGCTTAGAAGGTGTGGTACTAGGGATATTGTAGCTGATGTTAGATGGATCTTGGCTAAAAGCAGGGAATACCAGAGGAATGTCTATCTGTGTTTCATTGACTATGCAAAGGCATTTGACTGTGTAGATCATAACAAATTGTGGCTGACTCTGAGAAGAATGGGAATCCCAGAACACTTGATTGTTCTAATGTGAAACTTATACTTGGACCAGGAGGCAGTCGTCAGAACAGAGCAAGGGAACACTGCATGGTTCAAAATTGGGAAGGGCGTACATCCTATCTCCATACCTTTTCAACCTATATGCAGAGCAGAATATCCGGGAGGCTGGGCTCTATGAGGAGAAATGTGGGGTCAAGATTGGTGGACGATCTATCAACAATCTGCGTTATGCAGATGACACAACCCTGCTTGCTGAAACTGAGGAGGACCTGAAGCACCTGCTGCAGAGTGTCAAGGACTGCAGCCTTCAATATGGATTGAGGCTCAATGTCAAGAAGACAAAGATTCTCACTACTGGGCCATTCGGCAGCATCAGGATGGATGGTGAAGAGATTGCGATTATTCACAGTTTTAGTTTGCTTGGCTCCACAGTCAACACTCTTGGCACCAGTAGCCAGGAAATCAAAAAACTTATTGCGATGGGAACATATTGCGATGGCACATAACACCAACAACAACAATCTGGAAGAGACCTGAACTAAAACAAACTTGTAAATTTGGGTAGATGTGGACATGAGCTTGCCAGCAGGCATTTTTAATTTTTATTATTATTATCACCACTGGACCAATCAGTAGCATCATGATGGATGGCGAAGAGATTGAGATTGTTCACAGCTTCAGTTTGCTCGGCTCCATGGTCAACACTCTTGGCACCAGTAGCCAGGAAATCAAAAAACGTATTGCGATGGGAAAGTCTGCAGTTACGGATCTCTCCAAAATACTCAAGGGCAACAGTGTCTCTCTGGAGACTAAGGTCTGCCTGATACAGGCCATGGTTTTTGCAATCACTTGTTATACATCAGAGAGTTGGACAATGACTAGGGAGGATAGCAGGAGAATTGACGCCTTTGAGCTGTGGTGCTGGAGAAGAGTATTCAATGTACCATGGACTGCCAAGAAAACAAACAGATTCATCGTAGAGAGGATTAAACTAGGCTGCTCCTTGGAGGCAAGGATTCTGGGGCTTCTTCGTCTGACATACTTTGGACATGTTGTAAGGAGAGACAGGTCTTTAGAGAGGGACATCATGCTGGGTAGAGTGGAGGGACAGTGCAGGAGGGGAAGACCCTCTATGAGGTGGATTGATTCAGTGACTGGGGCACTCGGGATGGGTGTGTCAGGCAATAAGATTGACACAGGATAGAGCACGGTTTAGGGCTGTTGTACACAGGGTCGCTATGAGTCACAAATGACTCGATGGCACATAACAACAACAACAAAAACTATTATTGTTATTATTATTTTGTTTGGCTGTAAATAGATCAAACTGCTAAACTGGAAGGAAACTAAAAAACTATTGAGGTTCTTTCTGGAAAGTAGGATTATTATGGGCAGTGTAGGAGAGGAGATTGAAACTTTCAACAGCTTCATCTTGCTTGGATTCACAATTAACACCCTTAGTACTAGCAGTTAAGAAACAAAGAGATGCAGTGCAATGGGAAAATCGGCTGTTAGGGACCTTTCCAAATTATTCAGGATTAGTGACGCCAGTTTGAGGACTAAGGTGCATGTGATTCAGGCCATGGTCTTTCAATCCCTAGCTATGCATCCAAGACCAGGACAAAGAATAAGGTTGACAAGAAAAGGATTGATGCCTTTGAGCTTGTGGTGTTGGAGAAGAGCACTGAACATTCCATGGACGGCTATGCACCTCTTACTCTGGACTGCTGTCATACAAATACTGCCTAATTATATGTTCCTTTTCAATAGTTCATTCCTACATCTATTCCAATGTTCATTATTTGTCCCCTCTTTTCTTAGTTTCCCCACAATCCCCATGTCAGTCCTGTTTTATAACTGTGGTGTTAATGCAGTATTTGTCCTGAGATATTTCACTCAGTATAATGTCCTCCAGGGTCACCAATCTTGTGTAATTTTTTTATGAGTTCCTTGTTTTTTCAGTGCTACATAGTATTTCATGGTGTGAATGCACCATAGTTTTTCTATCCATTCATTTATTGATGGGCACTTGGGTGGTTTGCATCTCTTTGCTATTGTGAATAATGCAGCAATAAACATAGGTGTGCAGGTATGTGTTTGGGAGGCAGCTCTGGTTTCTTTAGGGTATATTCCTAGTAGTGGAATTGCTGTATCAAATGGTATTTCTATTTCCAACTTTTTGAGAAAGCACCAGAAACCAGAGCCACGACTCAAACAGATATATGCACATCCATGTATGTTGCTGTGTTATTCACAATAGCAAAGAGATGGAAGCAACCCAAGTATCCATCATTAATCAAATGGGCAGAAAAACTATGGTATGTTCACACAATAGAATATTATACAGCATTTAAAAACAATGAATTCATAAAACATTACACAATTTGGGGGAGTCTGGAGGGCATTATGTGGAGTGAAATATCTCAGTCACAAAAGGACAAATACTGCATAACACCACGGTTATAACATAGGACAGACATGGGGGGGGTGTAGAAAGAAAATGTGGTAAGAGTGAATAGATAACGAACACTGCATTAGATCAAGTGAGAGGAAGAACTGTCCAAAATAAATACATGATTAGGCATTATATATGTATGACAACCCTCTAGAATAAAGGGTGCATTCATTGCAGGAAGGTCTGGGGCAGGGGACGGAGGGGGAAGATAATGTGCAACAATGAATAAAATTTTTTTAAAAACAGAGAGAAATGGAAATCTAGATGCCAGAACCAAGAAGAGAAATCTGAGACGAGAAAGCAAGCTCCACCCAACCCTGATATAAGAGCAATGCTGGTTCAGTGGTGGAATGCTCACTTCCCTACTGTTAGGTGCCATCCAATCAAGTACGGCTCATAGTGACCTTATGAACAATAGTTCTGAACTTTGTCCTAACCTTCCCCATCCCTAACATCCTTGACACATGGAGTCCACTGCCACAGATACTGTATCCATCCACCTTGTTGAGGGTTTTCCTCTCTTCGCTAACCCTCCACCTTTCCAAACATCCTTTTCCAAGAATAGCCTCTCCTAACAGCATGTCCAAAACATGAGGTGAGGCTTCACCATTGTTACCTTCAATGATCACTCTGGCTGCAATTTCTCCAAGACATTTCTTCTTGTTCTTTTGTCAGTCTGTGGGAAATTCAGTGCTCCTCTCCAACACCACAGCTCAAATGCATCAATTCTTCTGTCATCCTTATTCATTGCCCAGCTCTTAGATCATAGCAGGTAACTAGAAAGACTGGCTTAAATAAGGTGCACCTTAGTCTTTAAAATTACATCATTGCTCTCCAGGTCTTTGGCAAGATCCTTAACAAGAGACTTTCCCAATGCTATACATCTCCTGGTACCAAGAGTGTTGACTATGCAAAACAACTATGAGATATCATCTCACCCCAGTAAGAATAGCAAAATTTAACATGTTGCCGCACACTTAAATTGACAACAATGCTTAGAAACACTTCCCACCCCACCCCCCGCCCCGTCATTTGCGGCAACGTGTTAATAGAACAGCAAACAACAAATGCTGGCGAGGATGCGGAGAAACTGGAACTCT